TCTCTGTAGTTATCTGGAAAATTATTTCTGTTTTGAATTTTTTTAGAGCCTTATTCATTTGTTTTGTTACTTACTATCAGTTCAGGGTGGTCAGGCAGTTGATTATCAGATTTTTCTACCTTGTTTTCCCCCGGAATTTGCCTTTGGTGCGCTGGAAGTCTGGGTTTGTGTCTTAGGTGTCTTCTTATTTGTATTTTTGTTGTTGGTACTATTTTTGGCTTAATTCCTGGGTTGATGCTTCAGTATTGCTTATTGTAAGTATCTTCGTTGCATGCATTTAGAACCCTTATGGGATGATTGCTTCTCAGAGGTGTCTTCCAAATATAGCTGGTCTTTAGGTTTTGAGTCTCTAATGACTCTTAGGCAATCTTGTTTTTAGTATACCAGGAAGGACAACAACCGCAGTGATCTGGTGTGCCTTTATTGCAGAGATTTTCCTCATTTTTCCAGTAGGCTTCAATTTTTATCAAGGAGCCTCAGGCCCTCTCTCTGTTGTTCACTTTTTTTTTTGTACTAGGGATCAAACTCAGGACCTTGTGCTTACAAGGCAGGCAACAGTAACACTCAGCTAAATCCCCAGCCCTCTGTTGTTCACTTCTGTCTTCTGGAGCTCTATATTCTGGAGCTCAGAACAATGGCCCATATAACTCCCTGCACCTGTGCAGTGTGGATCCAGGTACTGGCATGGCCCAGTGGCCAGAAGCAGGTAGAGGGGTTGAGGTGATGCTGCTGGTGCCCATGCAGCTCGGCCCCTCAGTGGCTGCTACAAGAAATTAATTGCACTATACAAGACTGTGTGAATGAGATACTAATCTGTATCACTTTTTGAGGAAAATACCAATGTCTTATAACATTCCTAATCATATTATTCTTAACTTCATCATCCATTAACTCATTTATTTAAATTTGTTCTCCATAACAACCCTAGAAAGACAGATGTTAAATTTGCACTGAGGAAGCAGACTCAAAAGCAAATATAATTCCTTAACATTTTGGATCTTAATGTGTACATGTACCCTCTGTCACTCCTAACTTTGTTGTTCAGAAGTACAGCCAATATTCTCCAGAAAGTCTCACCATATGATATTTATAAATAAAATAATCTCTATTATTGATTGTATTTTCAATTTGTGGTTTGTTTGTTTGTTTGTTTGTTTGTTTTTGAGACAGGGTCTCACTATGTAGTTGAGACTGACCTGGAACTCACTATGCAGCCCAGGCTGATCTTGAACTCACAGCGATCCTCCTGCCTCAGCCTCCCAAGTGCTGGGATTACAGGCGTGTGCCACCATGCCTGGCCAATTTGTGGTTTTTATAACACTCAGTGGAAAAAGCTCTAAACTAGAAATTAGAAGATTAAAGCATTGCTTTTCTACTACTATGAGGAATAACTGAAAAATACAGTGAATATTTAAATTTTAAAATATTTATCACAGTAAAAGACACATCGCCATTAATCCCCCTCAAAGTATCCCTTTCCCCCTCTTTGACAGCTTATCCCATCCTTGCCACTTTCTGAAGCAGTTTTGGAAGTCCCCTTTCATGAGTGTCTTTACAAGAAATAATAAATTCAGAGAATACTGCTGCTGAGTGCCATCCAACAGAAAATCAGGCTTGTAAAAATATGGTGTATCCCATCTACCTTATTCACTGGCTCTCTCCTGATTTCTGGCTCTTCCCCAAATTCAAAAGTAACCATGAAAGGCAGGAATTGTGAATCAGTTCAGGACATTGAGGCAACCCAGATGGCACAACTAAAGATACTCACAAAAGAGGACTTCCAAAAAAGTGCCTGAAAACAAAAAAAACAAAAAAAAAAATTACCAAGCCGGGTGTGGTGGTGCACACCTATAATCCCAGCATTTGGGAGGCTGAGGCAGGAGGATCACTGTGAGTTCAAGATCAGCCTGGGCTGCATAGTGAGTTCCAGGTCAGTCTCAAAAAACCAAAAAAAAAAAAAAAAAGTGCCTGAAAAAGTGCTAAGAACGATGGGTTAAGTGCATTTGAAGTGGTGGTGGGGGTAGTATTTTGAAGGAGGTTAATGCCAATGTGTCTTTTTAATGTAATTTTTAAAAAAATGTTTAAATATTCACCTTATTTGTTGATCACAGTGCATTGATTAGTATACTCATCACTTTCCTGTTGGTAGGACAAAATGCCTGACACCCACAATTTAAATGAGGAGAGGTTTATTTTGGCTCATGGTTTTCAGAGGATTTAGTCCATGGTGCTCCAAGGCAGAATGGTACGGTAAAAGGGCATAGCAGAGGACAGCTGCTCAGTCCATGGCACCTAGGAAACAGAAGGGAGGAGCGAGTCAAGAATAAACCTTCCAGGTCATATCCCTGGTGACCCATTCCTAACCAGGCCCCACACCCTAACAGGAGTTCACCCACTGAACTCCTCAGTGGATGAATGGAAGAATCCATTGATGAGCATAGCACCCCCGTGAGCCAGTCTCCTTCCATAGAAATGAGACCTGTGGGAAAGTTTCCCTGAGGTCATTCTGATAGGAAAGTGGGGTTAGATCCATTGGATAAATAACTGAAAGTACTATGAAACTACAGAACTATCATGCACTAGGAGGAACATTATTGCTTTTTTATAGATTGTTGTTTTTTACTCTGTGTCCAGGGTTGATACTCTTCAAAAAGAGGATTCTGTGGCTAATAAATTTGAAAAACTGTGTTAAACAATGCTAAAGAAGTTTCTTAGAACTTTTCGGAGCCTTTTATTTGTCACTGTTTATGTAGATCCCCAGTATATAGGTAAAGAATTCACTTTCTAGGGCTGGGGATTTAGCTCAGCGGTTCGGTGGCCTGCCTTACAAGCGCAAAGACCCGAGTTCAATCCCTGGTACCAAAAAAAAAAAAAGAATTCACTTTCTAAACTTATTTGAGCACAGAAAGCTTTTTTTGGAGAAGCATTCCTCCAAATGTATACGTGTTATAGAGCACATTACTGTGAGGTATTCTTTATATCTTCCAGGGTCACCTAGATTTGTTCTGCTTTAATCATAGTAGTTATCTGTTAATTTGAAGTTATGGTCCTTTAAAGTTTAACAGGAACTCTCTTGAGAATCTGTCTAAGAGACTTGGCATTGGCAAGTTCAGTGGTCAGACTTTCTGTTGTGCTAGTCATTTATAAAAATACACAGTAAGGTCTTAGTATTTTTAAGAAATAGATTAGGGGTTAAAATGCTACTACAGTATTTGCTACTTCAGTGCAGCTAAAGTCAACAAAAAATATTTTTTTAAACATTGATTGGGGGGCCGGGGATTTAGCTCAGCGGTTCGGTGGCCTGCCTTGCAAGCACAAGGACCTGAGTTCAATCCCCAATACCAAAAAAAACATTGATTGGGCAGTTAGAATATGACTGAAATAGAATCCTTGCCTAGACATGCAAGGCCATGGGTTCAGTCTCCAGCACTGCAAACAAAACAATAGACTGGAAGTTAAATTATTCCTGTGTCACTGTTGAAGTCCTACCATCCTTTCTTTTCTCTTTCTCTCTTTCCCTCCCTTTCTTCCTATCCTTTTATTAATAGTTACACGCTTGTTAATAAATTGGAGTAGTACTTTCTACTATTGATTTCATTTTCACAGTGTTATAGCATGTACATTGTTCTCTAAACCTAATAGTATATATAGTACAAGATGACTGTTAGACATTTTATTTTGAATATAAACCAATGGAAGTAAATTAACACAGATTGAACCTGAATCTTTTTTTTGGGGGGGGGAAGGGAATGAGGATTGAACCCAGGGCCTTGTACATGCTAACCATGTACTCTACCACTGAGCTACACCCTAGCACCCTAAATTTTAGTCTTTTAAAGGTAAAATTATAGTTGTTGTGATTGTAAAATTATAATTTCTTAGATAAAAAATTAAATTTTTCCTTGGAAATTTTATTTGACATCTGGGGTACTTAAAATTAATATATGAGGGGTGTGCTTTCATAAATAGTTAATTTGATGGAGTTTATTAGTTTTATATTAACTAATTTCACAAACTATAATTTCAATAAAAATTGCATTCTAGTGACATTGTTAGTTGTTGAAAAATACTGTAAGAACATTAATTTATGGTTTTAATTGGCAATTTATTTAAAGAATGTTGTGTGCTGCCTGCCTTGCAAGCTCAAGGGCCCGAGTTCAATCCCCGTTACCCCCCCAAAAAAGAATGTTGTATGGTTAAAAATTTAGACTCTGCACCTGGCATGGTGGTGCACGCCTATAATCCTAACACTTGGGATTTTGAGGCAGGAGGATCTCTGCATGTTCAAGGCCAGCCTGTACTACATAATGAGTTTAAGGCCAGCCTAAACTGCATAGCAAGACCCTGTCTGGAAAAAAAAAAGACGGACTCTAGAGTTATATCTAGGTTGAAAGCCTGCCTGTTATACTTTCTTGTGTGATTAAGCAAGTTACTAAGCTTTAAACCTCAGGTTTGGGCCGGGGATTTAGCTAAGTGGTGCTGCCACCTGCCTCTTAAGCACAAGGTCCCAAATTCAATCCCCAGTGCTAACAAAACAAAAACCAAAAAAACTCCATTTCTTCATTTTGGAAACACTCATCTTATAGTATTGTTATGGTGTAACTGGTGTCATGTTTACTGTTATAATACAATAGTTTTTAAAGAATTATATATTTTAATTCTTAATACATTTGGGGAGGTTTCTTCATAGCATATAGATTGCTTATCTTGGAAGACCTACCTACCTATTAAATTACTGCTTTCTCTCTCTCTCTTTTTTTTTTTTTTTTTAACTATGAGAATACAGTTTGGCCTAGGATTTAGCTTCACACTTTCAGTATTTTTTAATTTATCAAGTGAAAACAAAATGTAAACCCAGTATATGTAAATGTTTTCTTGTTATTGTAAATAGAAAGTACAATGAAGTTTAATGATTTTTTTCAAATATATATTTGATTATATAAATGACTTCCCCCCCTCTTTCTTTTGTTAGTTGTAGAGAATATTTATAAGAATCGTGAACCTGTCAGACAAATGAAAGCTCTTTATTTTATCTCTCCAACATCAAAAGTAAGTATTACAGGATGAAAGTCATCAAAATATGTTATATGCATGTATAAATATGCCAAAACAAAACCCACTGTTGTGTATAACTAATACATGCTAAGACAAACAAAGGTAGTTTGAATCTTTAAAAAGTGAGTTCTTGGGCTGGAGTGAAGTTCAGTGTTAAAGAGCATGCTTAGTATGTGCAAGCCTCTGAGCTCAATCCTCAGTACAGCCTTCCCCTCAAGCATATTCTTCAATATTTTCACCATTGCTGTGATTTGATAAGCTTGGTATGGTAGCGTACCTAGAATCCCAGCTATTTCGGAGGCTGAGACAAAAGCATCACAAGTTTAAGGCCTGGGCAACTTAACAAGCCCCTACTCAAAATATTTAAAAAGGGCTAGTGATAATAGCTCAGTGGTAGAGTACTTTCATAGCATGCTTGAAGCCCTGAATTCAATCTCCAATATCACCACAAAAAAAAAAAAAAAAAGGAATTAAAAGAAATAGTCTTGGATTGATCCTTTGTTTTAGTGATTTCCTTAGCATACATATATGTGTATAAATGTGCATGTTGATGTATATGTGTGTGTGTGTCTTTATATTAAAGGAATATCTTCAGTTTATAATCTACACAATTTAACATGTACCTAAAGGCAAATTTAGAGTCAAATAAAGCATCAGATTCCTTTAGTCTGTATAATATCTGAGAATTCATTTTCTAATACCTTCTCTTGCTCATTATCTAGAATGTTAATTTGGGAAACCCAATTTCTTCCTTTTTTTTTTCATTAAGTTTATTGGTACATTTTAGGTACACAATACAATTAACATTCATCATTGGGAACTTGTACCCTTACATGATATATCTTGGTTCTCATTTTTCCCCATTCCCCTGCCCTCCATTCAACCCCTCTACCCTCCCTATTTACAGAGACTTTGTTTCCATTTTTTCCTTTTCTTCTATTTTTTCTTTTCCCTTCTTTCCTTTCCCCTGCCCCTCCCACTTCCCCTATCCCATTAGACCTTTTCTTCCTATTTCACATTATTGATTATACACTTTGATCCTTATTTACACTTTTAGTTTCTCACACCAGAGAAACTATTTAGTAGTTACACATGTGCATCCTATTTATTTCACTTAAGAATATGGCCTCAATATGCATCCTTGTATCTATAAATGTGATCCCAGTTTCATTTTACTTCTAATTCTAGCAGATAGTAGGGGAAAAATCCAAATATTCACTGTTTAGTCTCTACATATTAGCTGCTATTGCAAAGAGTGAGTTTTAATGACATTTCATAACTAGTCCAGGATATAATTGTATAAGAGAAAATTCATGATTGGTAAAAATACAAGGGAAAGCACCATTCTTCACCTAACAAATTGACATAAGGATTTTATATTATAATAAATATTTATGCACATGTATATCACATTTTAGCTATTTTCACTATCAGTGGGTAATGGAGCAGAAAGTACCATATCTAAGTATCTGTAGATACTGCCATATCTAAAAGCTGGACACAAAATTGTGTATGCAGTAAAAGAACAAAGGTTTCAGAGAAAATGGTACCTGAATATGACTCCCTTATGAAGATTGCCCACTCCACTTTTTCTACCTGTCCTGAACCAGTAGCCTGCTGGTCCTATAGGTCTGTGTGCAAGTGAGGCTTTGAGGTCCTTAGGAGCGCTGGGAAGAAACATGGCATGAGTTTTGTATCCTCATGAGCTAGGAGAGAGCCCCTGGAAAACAGCATTAGAGTTCCCAGACAAAGATCATACAGCAACAGATTTCAGGAAATGTTTGTTACAAGAAATCTGTGAACTCCAAGGGATAGACCAGTTGATGTCTCCTCATAAAGGCCCTAGCGGTTTGTTTGCTTTGCTTTGGTGGTTTTGCCCTCAGGAAGAGAAACCTTTTGTGGAACTGCCTCTGTTTCAGATATTACAACATCCATCTGAGCCTAAGCCTCAAGTGAGTTGGCAAAGAAAAGCAACCACACAGCTAAATAGGTCCTACTGTCAGGGAGAGGAAGTTCAGTAAAAAGAAAACACATAGCTAGCAAAATAGAACAACTTAAGAGAATACCAACCTGAACAGAAAAATAGTACCCATAAGGGAGAGTCTAGTGTGGCACCAAAAGCAGTTTTTAAAGCACAAAGTGTGATTTCTTAAGTGCAGGAGAGGCTAATTACTTAATTATTTAAATTTGAATTAGTGTCTCAAAAGATCAAAATGGACTATCTCTCAAAGTAAAAAGAAAAAGAAAGAAAATCATGGAAATCTTGGAAAGAAAGACTTGTGATCTAACAAATACATTTCTGGAATTTCCAGAAGAAAAAAAAGGAACAGATGGAGGAGACATAATAATTAAATTCATTGTTGTTTATTTTTGCGTCTAGGGGATTCTTTCTTTTTGAAACTACCACACGGAGGCTTGTACTACCACCATTTTACCTGTTATTCCTCCTCAAAGTCATCCAGCGAGCTTTGGGTCTTTCATTCTAGTCCTTGACAGTTTTAACTCCTAGCTTGTGGTCATTTTCTTTGATACTTCTCCAGTCATAATTCCTGGTGGCTCATTATTTATGTAGATGATACCTGCAGTATGTTGGCACCTTTAAAAATTAAACTTCTAGGGCCAGGGTTTAGCTCATTGGTGCTCCCTGCCTCCCAAGTACAAAGTCTCAAGTTCGATCCCCAGTACAAAAAAAAAAAAAAAAATTACTAGCCAATAAGGTTTTATTTTATCATTGAAAGAAGATAATTTTTAATTATTTCAAAAGCTAGCATATTTCAATTAGTATTTTTTAAAGTATTATTAACATGTAACCTTTTTTAAGTCTGTAGATTGTTTCTTGCGAGATTTTGCAAGTAAATCAGAGAACAAATATAAAGCTGCATATTTATACTTCACTGACTGTAAGTTTCTTTTTAAAAGTTATTGCTTCATTATTTAAAATCCTATTAAAGTATCTTTTTATTATAATACTATCTGAGTATTAGTGATTTTATATTTATCATTTGTTAGAATTCGGTTAGCAAGAATCTAAAAATAAAAGATTATATATATCCTGATTCATGTTGAGGAAACCTATCCCAACTAGTTTCAAAAACAGTAATTTTTTCTAATATATGGGGTGAGCAATTGATAGAGGGGGCAGTTACTAGTGGCAGGAGGAATTGTTATTTTTTTGTTTTTGTTTCATTTTGTTTTTTTGAGACAGGGTCTCACTATATAGTTGAGACTGACCTGGAATTCACTATGTAGCCCAGGCTGGCCTGGAACTCACAGCGATCCTCCTGACTCAGCCTCCTGAATGCTGGGATTACAGGCATGCGCCACCACACCCAGCCAGAAGAAATTATTTTTAATCAAAATTTCAATTGAGGATCCTATCTAAGTATAAAAACATCTTTTGGAAGGTACTAAAGAAAACAGCCATCCATTTGGCAAATATTAAGAAGAAAATCTATCATATTTCTCGTAATATGCAGTGTGTTCAAACACAAAGCAGCTAACCTAAAGAATCACAGAGATGTCCAGATATGCAATTCTGTTTATGTTATATCTGTTATATCATTATATTTTATAATAAAATACAATTTATCTAAGTTAAGTCTTGTTCTCTGATATTAAACTCCTCACTCTGGTATACTATTATCCCTGCTTATTTCTCTCATATCTAGTAGTAGTCTGCATTTTAAAAGGTCATACCAAAAGTATTTGGCACCTAAGTAACATTATACAGAACTTCACGTTTATAGAATTGATAAAATGTAATGAATGTAAAGCCTCTTCTAATTTAAGGAATATTGAGGCTAAAGAATATTATGTTAAAAGACATTAAGAGCCAATGGTTGATTCCTTGTTAACCTTAACAGTTAATAGCTGATATTCTAGGATAGATAATAATGGAACTGTAAACACTTAGGTGAAGGGGGAGAAAACCTGGGCTCTACGTTCTAGAACCGACTAGTTTAGAGTCAGAATTTTCTAATACTTGAAAAGATTCCCTTATTCAAGGAACAATGAACAGTGGGTATAATATGGTAGATTTCTTAGTGACAAATCTTGAAAAGTAGTATAGATTTTTAAGAAATTCTGAAAGTACCACAGTTTATTAGATCATGAATTTGGGCATGATTTCTTGTCTAACAATTTGAACTTGCTGAGTTAGCATATCTCTAAGAAAAATATACTTGAGGTTTTGGTTGATGTGAATGGGGAAAATGAATTTCTGTTTACAGCTCTTTAGACTTGAATATATTGGTCTGTAACCCAAAGAACAATATATATATCTATCTCTAGCCTCATAGTGAATTACTTTATGAAAGTAATTATATCTTAAAAATATTCTTGAATGTTGGGAGATTTACATGGAATTACACGCTTTTTTTTTCTCTCCCAGTTTGTCCTGATAGTCTCTTTAACAAAATTAAGACATCTTGCTCCAAGTCAGTAAGAAGATGTAAAGAAATAAATATTTCCTTCATTCCACATGAATCTCAGGTACTCTCTATTTTTATGTTTATTCTTATTTTTTATTTTAGTTCATAATAGATTTTCAAATTTGGTTTTAGGCACTTGTTATAAGGCATACCATAAATTGTTTTACATGTATTTGGTAGATTTTGTACCTAATAAACAAATAAACATTCTCCATGATGAAGGGAAAAACCTGAGCAAAATACTGGAATATAACATTAATAATGGTCTTAAATTTCACATCTACCGTCAAGTCCTTTATATGTCAAATTACAGCACTACTAGATTATGAAATCAAGAGCTTTTTAGATTATGAAATCAAGAACTTTTTAAGTACAATCTTTGTTAGATGGTGTTAAAAATAATTTTATGTGGCTTTGCAAGCATGATATTAAAACAAATATTCTTTAAAAACCTTTTAGTATCATATAAATTATTTTAATCTATAAGTTGAAGGATTTTCATGTTTTGTCTTTGAAACAGTGATAATAACAATAATCACTATGATTATAGTAAACTGTGTGTTAGATGCTTTCTTGGGTGCTTTACATAAATGTGACCCTTTAACCCTTACTAGAGCCCTATAAATAAGAGTTCCTCTATCTCTGTTTTAAAGATTGGAAATCAAAGACATTAAGTAATTTATCCCAAATCATACAGCTAATGAACTGTTCAAATTTGTTGTGCTCTACACCCTGTGTTTGGACTCTTAACATTTTTACAGAATTGAAATAGTTCGGCATTGTTTGCAACTTTGAGGTCAGTATTTTGGGGATAGAAAGGTCCTATATAAGGGATTTCTCTTTTATGTTTTTGGCAAAAAAATTATAATCCATCCAAATTGTAAAATTTGAGATAAATGTTTTAACATTAAACTGTTTCCCAAAAGTTACCTTTAGATTTATTCTTCTAATATGATATATGTTTGTATAGAGTAAAAATGAACTTTCTAAAATCATGTGGTATAAAAAGCAGAAGTGTGATGAATGTTGCATTTTGCTTCATGGCAAGTAAATACAGTTTTAGTCTCAGAAGTCAATGAAATTATGTAATTTCTGTAATTGGGGGCATTTGTGTAGATATCTAATTTGATACTACACTTTTTTTTTTTGATACTACACTTCATCTTAGGCAAAAGTCCAAGAAGCGATATCTGACTAATTTGATAAGTGACTTCTCTTTGAGTACTGTATATAGAGAAATCTCTGAAAATTTTCACTTACCAATCTGTGAAACATTGCAAGCATTTAAGGTCCTGTTTGCCTGTTTTTTTCCCCCCCTAGGTTTTTTTCTCTTTATTTTCTCAATAAACATCCAAGAAAGTTTACTTTAAAAATGTAACTGTTTTAGAGAAATTACAGTGAGAATATGTAGGATTTTTATTTGCAAGTGAATACATAAATGAAATATTATTTTGAACTCTTAGCAGAGGACTAAATGAGCATTTATCATGATCATATTCAGTGGACATTGTTAGATTAAAAGTAGTCTGCTGTGAAATGATGCCCTATCTCATTTGAACACTATAAAAGAGATACAATGTACTTACATATCTCGAAAAACAGTATTAGGATTAAGTTCAACTGCATACAACAGAAAAACATAAATTTTCAATGGCTTAAATAACAAAAATTTATTTCTTGCTACTATGAAGGAAAAAAGCTATGTAACACTTATTTGCTGGCTCTCCAAAATTGTCAGAAGCCTCGTCTCCTACGTATGACCCTCATGATCCAAGATGACTGTAAAATTATTATACTCTCATTTGAAGTAGCAAGATGAAAGACTGAAAGAATGAAGAATTTTTATTTATACTTTATTAGCTAAGATTTAGTCACATAACTACACCTAAGTACATGGGAAACTGGGAAATATAGTCTTTTAGCTGTGCATCATATGGCTATTCTTCCAATGAATTGGAGTACAGTTATTGCAAAATAATGAGCTTATATTTTTGTTGAGGCATCACAGTCTGTCACAAAACAATTAATTCTTACTAGGAGCTGGGAAAACATTTGAAGAATGGATAGAATTTTACAAGGTAGTAACAAGGCAAGGGACCACTTTAGGAAGAATTTAAATGTAAAAATACAGAAGCAGAAAAATATAGAGCAACAGGAATGTGAGTTATAAGGGATGACAGCAGTAGGATAGGAGGCTTCAGGTCCAGCCAAGAATAATGGCAAAACAAACAAACAAACAAACAAACATGGAATTAAAAAACTATGGGGCTGGTCCTAAAGTTTTAAAGGAAAATTAGAGTCCTAGAAATCAAGAAATCACTGGAGAGAGATTGGTAGTCAGAGATGCTAGTGTTTCAAAGAAGCAAAACTGGACATGTAACATATTTAGAAATTAAATGGCAAGGAAGAAGATTGACTTATTCCTTGTGATTCCATAAGTCAAGAGATTAAAGAAAGATCTCTTATTAAGGTAAGTAATGTTATCACATGTACATAAAGCCAAGTAGATGGAAAGCATCGAAGACTATGAAGGAGTACTAAAAAGCATCTAGGTAGAGATGGAATGAAACTAGATATAGATTAGGAAGAATAGAGGGAATGTGTATGAGGAGGGGTATCTGTACTTAAGAGCTAAGTGTGGGTCATAAAGATGGAGAAATATGGTAGCAATCTAAAGGAACTTCTGTTTTCTTTTTTTGTTTGTTTGTTTGTTTTGAGACAGGGTCTCACTATGTAGTTGAGACTGACCTGGAACTCACCATGTAGCCCAGGCTGGTCTCAACTCACAGCCATCCTCCTGCCTCAGCCTCCCAAGGGCTGGGATTATAGGTGTGTGCCACCACACCTGGCTAAAGGAACTTTTAACTTTTTTATAGTGTAGTATATACTATATAGTATAGAAATATAGTATAGAATATAATATATATTCTATATAGTATAGAATTTATTGGAATTTTAGATGTCTTAGATTAATTTAAACTTGTAAGAACCACCCCTCATCTCAGTATTACAATAACAAATATTTATATTTCCTATTCATGTTATTGTGTGTTGTGTTTTGGCTAGGTTTTTGTTATACATTTGTCTGCATTCTGGTACTGAAGCTGAAGGGGTAGTCTGGGACATAGCAGAGGGAAAAGAGAAAATGTTGGCGCTACACAAGGATTTTGTGGTGGGGGGTTGTCTTGGTTACTGTTCTTGTTGCTGAGACAAAATACCTGACACTCAAAGTTAGAGTAGGAAAGATTTGTTTGGCTCACAGTTTGTAGAGGTTTCAGTCCATAGTTGGTTGGCTCCAAGACAAGGTAAAGATGTAAAAATATGGTAGCAGTCTAAAGGAACTTTTGTTTTGTTTTGTTTAAGGGGCATGACAGAGGAGAAACAGTTCATAGCAGGCAGATGGCAGAAGGCACAAATATCGTGACAAGTGACAAGCAACAGCCCTCTTTCTGACTCATATTTTATCAAGGTACCCACCTTTGGGTGGGTAGCACTCACACCTTTAATCCTAGCATCACACCATGAATCAATCCCAGTGTCACACCCTTGATCCCAGCATCACATACCCTAGATCCAGCCACCTCTGAAAAGCCCCACCTATGACCACATGAGGTTTGGGGGACATCTAGACACAAGCCGGACACAGCAGTGTAGAGATCAAACCCAGGCCCTGTACATTCTAAGCAAGCGTTCTACTTTTGAACTATACCCCTAGGCCTACACAGAGTTTCTTAAATCCTCTTGTATAAGTGATACATGTTTCTTCTACCCATATTCCACTGACCTACTGATGTGGATGGGAGAAGCCTTGTAAGAGGAGCAGTAAATGTATTAGAACAAACAATATTATTTACTGCAGTGGGATACTATACTATAAGAAAATTCAGATGTACATTGCTTCTTGGTAATTAATACAGCAACCTTGCCTTTGAGCAGCACACAGATAAGAGAATTGGCCACAGCTAATTCTCAGTCTATGTTCAGGCTGTTACTGCTATTGATGATAGGTTATGTTCAGAGAAATGAATGAGTTTGTTGAAAAGAAATGCAAAGAAGTTTATTCATAATTCATTACTTAAATTATGATATTTATTACTTGCCAACTTTTATACCCAGTATGTTATCCTAGGTTGAGAGGGAATTACTATTATTTTTAAAACCCAAAACTTAGTTTAGTAGAGAACTCTCAGCATTATTTAGTGAGCTGCTTCTCTTGTATTCTTCATACAACACAGTTATAAAAGCCTCTAACCTAGGTCTTTGCACATAAATAAATGCTTTTGCTAGTTGGCTGAATGAGTTTCTGGTAGTCTTCATTGTATTTATGGTTAAGACTTGTGTCTGGCACAATGATGTATCATTTGAGAAATATATCTTTAAGGACATGACGTGTCTAGGCTAAAGAATTGGAAATATTTATCAACTGTGATAAACTTCTAGGTCATCCTTTAATAGTCTAAGCCACTTTTGGCTTTCTTGTATTTCTGCCAAGTACTAGATTTTTATTTTAGTTTGAGTACCTCAGATTCCTTCATCTGTTACACAGGTAGTGAAAAACAAACAGTACAATCTGTACTGAGTCTGAAACAAGAGTTGAAGGAGAGAGATAGACTAAACAGGAAAGGAGAGAGAGAAAAGAAAGATTGAAGTCAAGATGACAGAGAAAAAGATTTGGTTAAGGTAAAGACACAGTTGTTTCAGGAAATAGCATGATTAGTGCAAGTACTTTTTCTTTTATGTTTCAAATCATAGCTGCATATTGCTAGGAATATTTTTAAAATTAGTTCTCTAGATTGACAGTAACTTTTTTTGGCCTAACTTAGGTGTATACTCTTAATGTACCAGATGCATTCTATTACTGCTATAGTCCAGTCTCTGGGAATGCCAACGGAAAAGACGCCATCATGGAAGCAATGGCAGAGCAAATAGTTACAGTATGTGCTACTTTGGATGAAAATCCTGGAGTAAGATATAAAAGGTAAGGCACAGTAGTGCATCTCATCTACAGGCAAGTAATAACTCTGTGCTTTTTTGTATTGATTTGCAAAATATACTTTCTTTGTACAATTACATTGCTCTATATGTAGGACATTTTAAATTTAAGGCTTAAATTTCAGATTAATGCTTCTGTTACTGAATGTCAGAGTTAAATGTTATACCGTTTACAGACAGCTTTTTTTTTTCACATAAGCTTAAGGAATGCTTAGAGGAAATGTCTCTGTTATGATGTACAGTCTTGCATTTAATGTTTTATCATTAAATTTCCACCAAATTTAAATCATCTGGATACTTGTTATAAAGTCTTAAGTATCTAGAGGCCTTAGTGGGAATGTAAATTAGTACAACCACTATGGAAATCGGTATGGCGATTCCTCAATAAACTAAAACTAGAAATTCCATTTGACCCAACTATTCCCCTTCCAGGTGACTTCTCAAAATAGTTAAAGATATACTACAGTGATATATGAGTATTTGTAGCAGCCCAATTCATAATAGCTAAACCTTGAAAGCAGCCTATATATCCATCAGCAGGTGAATGGATAAACAAAATGTGGTATTTACACACAATGGAGTGTACTACTCTGCGATAAAGAATAAACTTCAGTCATTTTTCAGGAAAATGAATTCACCTTGAAACCATAATGTTAAGTGAAGTAAATCAGACGTATAAGCCTAAATATCACATGGTTTCTCTTATATGAGAAGACCAAAATATAAATAAAGAGCCAAATAAAAAGTCAGATAATAGGAAGTAGGAAGCTAGATCTTTCTTTCTTTTTTTTTTTTTTTTTTTTTTGATACTGGGGATTGAACTCGGGTCCTTGTGCTTGTGAGGCAGGCAGAAGAACCACTTAGCTAAATCCCCAGCCCTAGGTCTTTCTCTGATAGGAAGGGGACCAAGAGATGGAGGGGAGGGAAGGGAAAGGGAATTCAAAACAAATTAAGATGTGTTATATACATGCACCTACTCCCCATGTAATCATTATGTATTGCAAACATGTACTAATTAAAATTTAAAAATTTTTTCATTTTATAACCATTTTATAAATAAGTTGTGTGGTTCGGTTTTTTGTTTTTGTTTTTGTTTTTGGTACCGGGCTTCAAACTCAGGACCTTGTGCTTGTGAGGCAGGTGGCGGAACCACTGAGCTAAATCTCCAGCCCTGTGTAGTTTAGTTTTAAAATTCAACATTATGATATCAAAAGAAAGATAAAGGTTTAAATATATTTTCTATTTTTAGTAAGCCTCTAGATAATGCCAGTAAGCTTGCACAACTGGTTGAAAAGAAACTTGAAGACTACTACAAGATTGATGAAAAGAGCCTAATAAAGGTAATATATAAAAGGAACATAGTGACTATACATAAAGTCTATGTTGTTTATATTCATTTTCTAATACTGATGTGGGAATCGTTAACATAAACCTCCAGAACTGATTTGAGAATCATTAACAAAGACAGTAGTGAAAACCTTAGTAGTGTGGTCTAGAGGGGAAGATATAAGCATTGGTGTCCACATCTTAGCTCTGCCATTTAATTCATAGTTATATTAATTTGGACAAATTATATAAATTACACCAAAATTTTTTTCTATAAAATGGGGATAACAATAGAATACCTATTTTATAAGTTATTGAGCAGGTTAAATGAGTTAATATTTATAAAGTCCTTAGAATAATCCTTTCCAATGAGTTAATATTTAACAAATGTTGGAATTCCTGCGATTACTAGCTGCGACCTTGAGTTTTTTCAACCTGTAAATACAGATGAAATAATAAGTACCTTTATGTAAGAGCTTAATGAATGATGGCTGTTGTTACCATTTTATAAAGATGGTGTAATTGGAGACTAAGGTTGGACTGGGGAATACCAGCTTGTAGGTGTGGTTAGAGAACAGAGCCCGAGGATACTGGCAGAGGTGGTACCAGAGGACTGGGAAGCCATATTACAATAGCTGGAGAATGAAAGGAAGAAACTGTTCATAGTTTAGAAGAGGAAGCCACCAATTACAGTGCTATATAAGTGCAGTGAGAGAATAATATATGGAGTACAACGGGAACATAAGCTGGGGCGTGGAAGGCACCCTAAAGGAAGAAACTCTTGAGCTTCAAAAATTATTATAACATAGAGCTCACTTCAGCAGCACATATACTAAAACTGGAATGATACAGAGAAGATCAGCAATGCCTTACACAGATTAGCAATGCCCTTGCACATGTAGCAGGCTTAAATATTATATGATTTTTCTTATTTTTTGGTACCGGGTATTGAACTAGGGTCCTTGCGCTTGCAAGGCAGGCCACCGAACCGCTGAGCTAAATCCCCGGCCCTGTATGATTTTTCTTATATGAGAAACCCAAAGTATAAATAAAGAACAAAATAAAGGATGGATGGTAGGAGTCAGGAAGATGGGTTTTTTGTTTTTGTTTTTGTTTTTTTTTTTTTGGTACTGGGGAGAGAACTTGGGACCATGGATTTGCAAGGCAGGCAGGCAGAACCACTGAGCTAAATCCCCGGCCCAGGAAGATAGAATCTTTTGCAAATGGAAAAGAGACCTAGAGATGGAGGGAGAAAGGGAAGAGGAAGGAGAAGTAAAAAGAATTAAGATGTGTTACATGCATGTACATATCCTCATGGTGAATGTAATCATTATGTCCTGAAAACACACTAAAAATTGTTTTAAAAGAATTATAATAAAAGAGTTTATTGCATACGTAACAAGATTCTTTGGATAGAGGTATAGAAACGAGGCAAAATTTACCACTAGAAAGCTACACTGTAATAAAAACTGCTGGAAGGAAGGATGTTAGTTTAGATGTTATATTACTTTAAAAGCTAACCATTTTTGGTTTGAAGATACAATAAAAGCTGTTCTTCTGATCTATTTTGTGAAGATAAAATGGCTAAGTATAAATGAAGAGGTATACAATCATATTAGTAAATATGTTTAGTTCTTCTCAATTTCAAAAGACAAGCACAAACTACATAAAGTAACAAACTTGTCTTTTCCATTCTTTCTGCCTGGGAAATTGTACCTCCTTCAAATGCTTGATACCCCTTTTTCACTGATAAAATGACCCCTTTTGATCTGGTAAATGTCACCTCCTTTTTGAACCCTTTTCTGACTTAAGGTCAACATAAGTGTCATTAAGTCCCAAGCTCTGATATAGCACTTATATTGCAGGGTCTTTTTCCTTTTTATTTCTGAAGACTCATAGTTCACATATATTGTTGGCTTTCACTATGATTTTTTATCTTAATTGAGATCAATATAATCTTTTAAAATAGCACAGAGATTAGAAACACAAGTATTCAAGTGAAGCAGTCTTGAATTTGAAACTCCATTCTGCCACTTACAACCTGTGTGACTAGGCAAATTACTTAATTTCAAGCCCTACTGCCCTCAATATCAAATATGATACCTGTCTCACAGGGTTGCTATAAGAACCCTGAAATAATACATCTATTAATTGAAGTTTTATGTGTATTTTTGTTGTTGTTGTTTTTTGATACTAGGGATCAAACTCAGGCAGGCATGATGCCACTGAGCTGAATCTCCAGCCCTGCATGTGTATTTCTTGCATACCAAAATTTTTAATCACAGTGATACATGCATACCCATGTTTATTGCAGCACGATTCATAATTGCTAAATTTTGGAAGCAGCCTGTATGTCTATCAACAGATGAATGGATAAAGTAAATGTATATATAAATAAATAAATGTCATAAATAAAGATAAACTTGAGTCATTTTTAGGAAAATGCAGGCTCCTTGGGAACATCAAATGATAAGTGTAGTAAAGCAGACATAGAAGCCTAAATATCCCATGGTTCCTCTTACATAAGAAACCCAATTATAAGTAAAGAGCAAAATAAAAGATAGATAATAGGAAGTAGAGAGAGACCTTTCTCAACTGAGAAGGTCAAAAGATGGAAGGAGAGGAGAGAAAGGAAATGAAAAAAGGAATTATGAACATGCACTAACACCATACAAGAAGTGTGTGTACTACAAACACTAATAAACAATTTTTTTAAATGTCTAACAAAGTGCTCAAGTAGTAGCTATTATTTATACCTTATATCCATTTTAGTGTGTATGGAGCTGAATTCATAATAAAATAAGCCAAATGTTACTTTCTTTGGAGATCGAACCAGGGTCCTTGTGATTGTGAGGAAGGCAGTAGAACCACTGAGCTAAATCCCCACCCCCAAATGTTACTTTCTTAAAGGAAAAGTTAATATTGGGCCAAGGATTTAGCTCTGTGGTGCCACCGCCTGCCTCTGAAGTGCAAGGTCCCAAGTTTGATCCCTGGTACCAAAAATAAATAAATAAATAAATAGATATTTTATATATATTATTGTTAATTACACCCTCTAATTGCGAGAGCTTTTAGTTAAGTAGTCTTGGTTTTTGCCATGTGTGCCACTCATATTTTCCTCTTTCGATATAGCTTCACATTGTTAAGGAATTAACCATTTGTTTTATTGTGCTTTTGGTGGGGAAAAAGATAAGAATTTAAGAAAAATCTACTTTTATAAAAATGTGTTCGCACAAAGAAATTGAATTTTTTTTTCTTGTTATCCTAGGGTAAAACTCATTCCCAGCTCTTAATAATTGATCGTGGCTTTGATCCTGTATCCACTATCCTACATGAACTGACCTTTCAGGCGATGGCATATGATCTACTACCAATTGAGAATGACACATACAAGCAAGTATAACTTGACAAATATATAAAGGGACAATATAAACAGGATAATATATGAGTGCTTTATGGCTTACATAGGAATCACAAATCTGAAAGACATATATCCTTTTTTATTCAGACATTTTATCTGTCTCTTCTGTAATTATTGAAATATATGCTGAGCCAGACAAGGTGGTGCATGCCTATAATCCTAGCACTGGGAGGCTAAGGCAGGAAGATTCAAACCCCATCTAAGCTTTAGAGTTTTTTGAATGTGTTTGTCTCATGAGTCAAGAAGAGAGCTACATTTAAATATGTAGAATTCGGACTTTTCACTTATATTAAGAATAAATATCAGGGCCCTCCTTAACATGTTTGAAGTAGAAACCATATTCAAAATTGTTAAACTATAATTATTGTGAATTATGAGCCCAGAAGTATCTTGTCAGTATAATCAACTTTAAAAGATTATGATACTAGAAAACAAAATAGAATGGCTATTAGAATCGGCACAGTTTATTTAGTCCAATGGATTGCAAGTTTAAGCCCAGCCTGGGCATGCTAGTGACTTAGTGAGACACTGTCTCAAAATTTTTAAAAAAGAGCTGGGCGTGGTGGTGCACACCTGTAATCCCAGCACTTGGGAGGCTGAAGCAGGAGGATCGCTGTGAGTTCGAGACCAGCCTGGGCTATACAATGAGTTCCAGGTCAGTCTCAACTACATAGTGAGACCCTGTCTCAAAAAAAAAAAAAAAAATTTTTTTTTTAAAGGACTGGAAATATTGCTCCAGGCAAGGGTCCTGAGTTCAATCCCTTGTACCACACACAAAGAATAGGCACAGTTTTACCATTTTTGGTACTTCCTTACTTAATCTTGACATAAACATACTTACTTTAAAACTAATGTCAAATAAAAAGCTAAATGAAAAAATGAAATAGTTTTCCCATAAAAGAACCGTTTTACTTATCTTTGCATATCGTTTATAGAAGGCCAGGGATTTAGCTCAGTGGTGCTGCCACCTACCTCACTAGCGCAAGGGTTTGAATTTGATCCCCAGTACCAAAAAAAAAAAAAACCCACCACCTGCCTCACTAGTACATCATTTATGGGTGTGTGTATATGTATAAATTAATTAAATGTTTTTCAATATAATGATCACTAAATCCAAACTGGCAATTTTCAGGGCTGGGGATTTGGCTCTGGGGTTCCGCCACCTGCCTCAAAAGCACAAGGGCCTGAGTTTGATCCCTGGTATCAAAAAAAAAAGTCAAACTGGCAATTTTCAGAAAGCCACGATTATTGGGCTGGGGATTTAGCTAAGCGGTTCGGTGGCCTGCCTTGCAAGCACAAGGACCCGAGTTCAATCCCTGGCACCAAAAAAAGAAAGCTAAGATTATTGCTTGAGCACAGTAGTAAAAATGAAAATTAATTTCTGAAATTTTATGTTTAATTATATTTTAGTAGTTCTTCTAAGAAAATAACTTGATAATTGATGATACTTAAGTTTTTCTTAAACCAAATATTGTTAAAATAATTTTGTATATTGTATTTTTATCTTCACTCTGTTTATATCCTGATTTCTGAGTTTTTCTTTATTTGTACTCAATGTTTGTTAACATAGGACATCAGTGTAGCTATTTTTCTAACAAAAATGTTGTTTTAAGCATTGCATTTAGAATTTCCAGGAGCAGTGTTATTTATCTCTGTTATTCTTTAGGTCTATATATCCTTCCTGAACTTCAAACTCATATCCAACTATCTACTGGATATGTCCACTTGGAATGTCTAAAGAACACTATAAACTTCCAAAGCTGAAATCCAGATCTCCTCTTTTGAACTGCTCCAATTACAGTCTTCCCCATGGCAACTTACGGTTCATTTACACCCAAAACTTTAGTCGTCTCCTCTCTCACATCTTACAACCAATTAAGTCCAAAAGCATTGGATTAATCCACAAATCTTTATGGACATATTTTTGAAATCTAACCAGAATCCAAACTAGTCCGAGTCAGTGTAATTTTTCACTTAGTTTATTGCAACAAACTTCTGGCTGATCTCTAGTGCTTCTTCTATGTTTGAGCGCTAATCAGTCTCCCCTCAACATAAAAAAAGAAAAGGTGTCATAAGACCTAGGTTGCTTTGAATCACTTTGCTTCTTCAGAATTACCAGGGTTTTGTTTTGTTTTGTTTTGTTTTTTTCAGTTTCTTTTCAGAATTTTTGATTGTAAAAATGTTTCTTCCACTTTGGGGGCAAAAAGTCCAGAAGTTTTATGCATCTGTCTACTTGTAGGTATAAAACAGATGGGAAAGAAAAGGAGGCAATCCTGGAAGAAGATGATGACCTCTGGGTCAGAATCCGACATCGACATATTGCAGTTGTGTTAGAGTATGTGAAAACCTTTTTAATTTTTATTCCATATCTTTAAAATATTATGTATATTTTATAACTTTAAAAGTTTTTTTAAAGAATTCTACTTAAAGAATTCTTTCACAATTTGACAGAGAAATTCCAAAGCTTATGAAGGAAATTTCATCAACAAAGAAAGCAACAGAAGGAAAGGTAAGAGTCTTAATTTTCAAAATAATGGTAAAAGGGCCAAGGATTTAGTTCAGTGGTTCTGCCGCCTGCCTGGCAAGCACAAGGACCCGAGTTTGATCCCCCATACAAAAAAAAAGGTAAAGGTGAATTTTAAACTTTGTCATCAGTTTTTATTATATTTAACTTTCCATTTGGGAAACATTCTTTTTTTTTGGTACCAGGGATCGAACTCGGGTCCTTCCTTGCTCTTGCAAGGCAGATGGCAGAACCACTGATCTAAATCCCAGCCCTGGGAAACATTCTTAACATTCAAAGAAGTAAAGAAAATAAACTCCCATATACCCATTATCTCATTTCAAAAATTAGCAACATTTTTGTCAGTCTTGCTTCTTTAAAGTTTATTTTAGAAAGACCATTTAGTCTTTTAAAAACACATTTCATCAATGTGTTGTTGGGATGTTTTATTTTAAGGTATATTTTACATAAGTAAAGCATACAAATCTTAAATGTATCCTGGATAGTTTTTTTATTTATGCATTTATGGAACAACCAGCTAAATCAAGAATACAGACTATTTCCCTCATACCAGAAAGTTTCTTCTTATCCTTTCCCAGTCAGTTCCCTCCTGCCAAAAATGAACTCTTGTTCTGATTTCTATCATCTTATATTGTTTTTACTTGTACTTGAATTTCACGTAAATAAAATCTTATGCTATGTGCTCTTTTTTGTCTGCCCTCTTTGACTCAATATGAAATTTTGAGCTTTGCCAGTGTTACGTATTTCAGTAGGCTTTTTCCCCCATTTTTTGTAGTAGTAATATCATTCTGTGTATACTGACACAAGTTGCCTGACAATAGGATATATTCTGAGAAGTGTGTCAGCAGGAGATTTGGTCAGGTAACATTATTACAGTGTGTTTACACAGGTTAAAGCAGCTGTAGTATTACAAGGTGATGTGATCTCTTTGGGCTACCATCATGTGTGGTCCATTGTTGACTGAAACATTGTTAATGCAGTACATGATTCTCAGCAGAATTTTGGCAAATGAGCTTGAGTTACGTGTTCTACAGCCCCTTGAATCATTTTCAGAAGGATTCAGCTGGGCTAGAGAGAACCTCCAAGATTTGGAGGTCACTAGTTACGGAAATGGAGTGGTGTATTTTAGGAGAAGGTAGCACCAGGGGCAAGAGCCTACCCCAAAGAAAAGGGTGTCTGAAAAACATTCACAGTTCCTCTAGCCTCGAAAAGCGACATTTATGTCATGTATAGTAGCGCATACCTGTAATTCCAGCTACTCAGGAGTCCAAAGCAGGAAGATTGCTAGTCTGAGACCACCCTAGACAACTTAGCCCATCTTCCACCACAGCTTCTGCACCTCAGCATACACATTGGTGCCTGAAGTGCAGGTGTGACAAGAGAGACACCTGTATAAATCTCTTAATGACACTGCCACTTTCTGTGGCTCCTGAGCCTGTTCTCGTGCATTATTTTTTTTTTTTCGTTTTTTTTTTTTTTTTTTGTACTGGGGATCAAACTCAGGTCCTTGCATTTATGAGGCAGGCAATGGAATCACTGAGCTAAATTCCCAGACCCTGAGCCTGTTCCAGGACCAAAGTCTGGATAGTCTTTAGGTCCAGTTCAGTCAGCTGCAGAATCAGTATGGCAAATGTGGTCGTTTTTCTATTCCCAGAATAAGTTTGAATGATCACAGTGTAACCCTTGATTATAAGAAAAAATGGAAGGCAGAAGGGTTTCCAAACCATAGGCTTAGATGCCTTGGAGAAGGGACTCCAAGAGGTTCATTTCATTAAAGCTGTCAATGTCTCACTCCACTTATTCTCTGTGATACCTCGGGCTCCATCCCCTTGGTCCATTGTTTCTGGATCATTGTTTCTGAACCAAAGATGTCATCCTTAGAAACTTATTCTATCACTTGAGTATTGATTACTTTCTTGTTTCACTTGTGCATTAATTTTTAATTGTATTCTAGACCTTGTGGATGATTACAGATAGTGTTGAGGTTCAGTTAAATTGCTGAAGAATAACCTTGAGATTCTCTTGAGATTTTATGTTAAACAGTGCTATGGTGAATGTATTTCATCTTTGCACTTAGTCTTAAGGCATAGTTGTAGGACTTAATGTCTGAGATGTTCACTTTGGTCTCTACTTTGTCTAGATCAGAGGATGCTAGCATTTTCTGCTAATATCCTGCTGGCATCTCTGTCCATCACTTAACTACTTAGTAGTTGTTCTCCACTAGGCCCTTGAGAATTATGGCCTGTACACATGCAGGTTAGGGGCCCAAGGGTAACTACATTACATATTTTAGGCTTATGTTCTAGCTAGCTCCTTTTTAGTACCCTGCTACCTAAACCCTGCTTCAGCAGCCTTAAACTCTGATCTTTATTCTTTGTCCAGAGAGATAATTGCTTTCTACTTTAACTCTCCTTACTTTCTCTGTGGTTTGGAAAATATCCCCCAGGGAAAAGGCAGAGTGAATGCAAGGATCACCTCTGTGCTTTCCCTCCCTCAGATGTGTCCTTCACTCAGAGTTATTTTTTATCCGTTGACTAAAAGCTGTTGTTTTTGTTTATGGAGGGAGAATTTTGATGTCAACTACTTTATTGTGATTGATATTAGAAACCCCTGATACTTTCTTTTTAAATTGTGCCAAAAGTTTAATGTTAACTAGATTCGATAATATTTAAAATTCTCTGATTGAAAGGTTATTAAGGAATTATAGAATAACAGAATCATAAGTGTGCTTAAAATATTTTTAATTTTTCCTAGATATCACTTAGTGCTCTTACCCAATTGATGAAAAAAATGCCACATTTCCGTAAACAAATTACTAAGGTAAGCAGTGTTACATATAATGTGACTTATTTTTAGTTTGTCTATCCTGTTCTGTAGCTAGCCTTAACAGTGATCTTATGGAATACTTAAGCTTTGTATCTGAGAAATATTCCCAATATCCAAGCTTCCTAGTAACTTCTCTACATGTATCCTCTAGTTTTATTCAAATCCAGCTTAAACTTTTTTATCATTGTCCTGAACAACTGAACAGAATAATTTTTACCAACCTCATAGGAAAATTCAACACTAGATTGACCCATGGTTGTTATTTTACATGCTTCTTTAAATTGTTATATATTAATATATTTAACAGCATTTAAGCTGTGTGGTGAGATAAATTTTTTTTTCACTGTTCTAGCTTTTTTTTACAAATCACTGTCAAAATAACTTTATACTTTTTTGGGGGGCAGTACCAGGGATTGAACTCGGGTCCTTGCGCTTGCAAGGCAGGCCACTGAACCGCTAAGCTAAATCCCCGGCCCTACTTTTTATCATTGCACCCTAAGCAAGAACAAATAATACAAATAAAACATTTCAAGGTTTCACTGTTGTCTTCTTACCTTAATTTTCATTACTCTCGACACAAATTTAGCACTTAAATTTTTTTTTTGCTGTCTATTGATTATCCCCTATCAGTCTTATTCTCACCTTTCTTGAGTTGGTTCCGTTGCCTACATGTTACTTTCTTTCACCTAAGCCCATACTTTTCTTTTGGCCTCTCTCAAACATTTAAAATTGCTAGTTGTACAAAAAGTAATTAAAATGCTCTAAATGATCAGTTTATTTTGTTTTTCAGCAAGTTGTTCATCTTAACTTAGCAGAAGATTGCATGAATAAGTTTAAACTCAATATAGAAAAACTCTGCAAAACTGAACAAGTATGTACAATATCAGAAATACCTACATTCATAATAAATTTCCAAAATGAACTTTGTAAGTTAGAATATATAATTTTGCTCACTGCAACTGTTGATTTTCATGGAATCACAGACCTGTAAAAGGGGACCCACTGATCAGTACTTAATACACAATTTTCCACTGTGTTAGCTTTCTGTTACTATAACAAACATCTGAAATAGTAAACATACAAAGGGTCACAGTTTTTATTTTTGTTATTAGTGTTAGGGATCAAATACCTTGTAGATACTAAGCATGCATAAGGCTCATATTTTTGGAGTTGTCCTTGTTGCTTTTAGGCTTGTGATGAGATCGCACTTCATAAGAGTGTGTGACAGAACAAAACTACACACCCCACAGCTGGACAGCAAAAGAGAGAAAGGGGAAGGGGCAGGGATTCTACCATAACCATTGGGGCATAGCCCCAGTGACCTGAACACCTCCAAAGCCCATCTCCCAATAGGTTCTACCATCTCCCAGTAGCACCACACTGGAAGTCAAGCCTTTTAACACATGGACCTTTTTGGAACAGTCCAGATTCAAACTACAGCACCGCAAACATTAATAAGCAGCCATATAGTATCTTAATTAGCATGTTTGGCTAAATGGTATGTTTTACGTTTTTGGAGCCTTATTTGGGGTTGGCATTGTTGGCAGGACTTATTCAGGAGGTGAAGCACTGACTATAACATCCTACAGAACACTGTATAGGGCCATTTTATTTGTTTTAAAAAGCTGTTTATATAATGCCTCAACTGAGTACAGCATCATGCTCTAACAGAAAATGTTAGATGCAAGTGACATATACTGAATGTCCTAGCAAAGCCAAAGGCTGTGGCACCGGCCTCCTCTAACTACTCGGGATGCTGAAATAAGAGGATCAAGCATACCAGGCCAGACTGTGCAACACAGCAAGACCCTATCTCAAAAAGGAAGAAAATGTATTCTGGTAGCTACATTCTAGTGCAAAGTTAAAAGGAAAAAGTACAATAGTAATAATATGTTTGACTTAACCTGATACATCCAAAATATTATTTCAGCATGTAATCAATATAAACATGATTAGTGAGATGTTTTCCACTCTTTTTTCCATACCAGGTATTCAAGATGTAGTATTGTGCATCCATAGCACATTTTAATCCTGGTTGACTACACTTCAGGTGCACAGTAGCCACGGTTGGCTGGGGGGCCACCACATTGGATGTGTTTAGCATTAATGGTTTTCTTCTCTGATTTATTTTGACCTTTTGCATTTTGTACAATGAATAGTTTATAAATGATAGCCACATTTTCCTATGAAATGTTAGCAGTGTTCCATTAAAATTTGGTGATTTAATAACATATTTTTAAGAGCCAGGCGTAGTACATGCATGTAATCCCAGCACTTTGGGAGGCTGAGGCAGGAGGATCATAAGTTCAAGTATGGGTAACTTAGTGATTTAGCAAGACTCTCTTTCAGAATAAAAAAGAGGCTAGGCATGTAGCTCATTGTGAAGGTCCTAGGTTCAATACCCAGTACCCCCTCCCAAAAAGGGGGGATATTTTTAACAAAAAAATTAATTTGGACTTTAGACCACTAACTTTTATTTCCATTAAGGACCTGGCACTTGGAACTGATGCAGAAGGACAGAAGGTGAAAGATGCTATGCGAGTACTCCTTCCAGTTCTACTGAACAAAAATCATGATAATTGTGATAAAATAAGAGCGATCCTGCTGTACATCTTCAGTATTAATGGTAATGGAGATTTTCATGAATTCATTAATGCCTAGTTCTGAAATCACTTTTTAATAATTGATTTACCACTGATTTTTAGAGAATCTTTGAAAACTTAAATGTAGTGGCTTAAGTCAAATTTAGTTAAAGTATATATGAAGAAAAATATGAAATTGAGAGAAGACTTAAGGGGGGATATGATTGGACTGTTTGCTCTTAAAAACTTTATGAGTACTACATAAAAACTGGAATTGATTGCAGTAGCAATTATGTGATTGTGTGCTCATATTTTTATATATCTAAGGGACCACAGAAGAAAATTTGGACCGATTGATTCAGAACGTAAAGATAGAAAATGAGAGTGACATGATTCGAAACTGGAGTTACCTTGGTGTTCCCATTGTTCCCCAAGTAAGAAATTTTACATGGTACATGTGTGGTGGTTTGCATTAATTATGTTTTTATATGTGAAAAGCTGTGTGAATAGTCTTTTTTTTTTTTTTTTTTTTTTTTTTAAGGGACAAACTTGGAAACTTTCACTTGCAAGGCAGGTGACAGAACCATTGGACTAAATTCCTGGCCCCTTCGATAGTCTTCTTACTATTACCTTATAAATTTTTATCATTATTAAGCAATTAAAATTTTGTTATCTTTCCCATATGTGAGCAGTTTGGTTAAGTAGATTTTTCTTAGTGAATTTATATTTTATGCCTTCTGTTGTAATTGTTTTCTTACACTTTTCTCTTGTTCATTATAGAAAATACCATATTTTAGTATACATTAACCTTTAGCACAGCAAAGAAAATAATAATATTCTCTTTTTAAAAATATTTAGGCTCAAGCTAGGCACAGTGGCACATACCTGTGTATCCTAGCTCTTGAGAAGCTGAAGCAATCAGATCTCAAGTTCGAGTTCAGCCTGGGCAACTTAGTGACTTAGGGAAATTCTGTCTCAAAATAAAAAATAAAAAAAGATGTTAGGAATGTAGCTTCAGTGCAATCCCCAGTACTGCCATTAAAAAAAAAAAGGCTTAAAGCCAAATTTGGAAGAACTCTTTTTAGAATGCCTCTCCTCATTGTTTTATGAAACTTTTTTTTTTTTTTTTTTTTTTTTTTTTTTTGTGGTACCGGGGATTAAACTCAGGACTTTGCACTTGCAAGGCAGGCGAGATGCTGCTCAGCTAAATCTCCAGCCCTGAAACCTTTTTTGAATAAACATATTTCCTGATGCTATTTCAAATTTTAACAGTAAAGTGCAAAAAGTTCAGTGACGTTGTATGACCACATATATTGTGATTTTTTTAAAAAAGATATTTTCACTCTCATTATCAGCCAGTAAGTTCAATGTTTTTGGTCATAAACATAATGATATTACTGAGTAAAATTACGGTTTTTTCCTCTAAATAGTCTCAACAAGGCAAACCATTAAGAAAGGATCGGTCAGCAGAAGAAACTTTTCAACTTTCTCGATGGACACCTTTTATCAAAGATATTATGGAGGTAAAAATCATTAAATTTCTACTTACATGTGAGCACAACACTCGGCCTTTGTGCTCACTTGTCAGTGCCACTTCTGCTATCATGCCTTAAATCAGTGGTCTCAACCTTTTGACCGTGTGACCATGGTAAACCTGATGTTTGTACTATATCTGTACATATAATATATATATATGTGTATATACATATATAATGTAACACTGAAAAGGGGAAAATTTTTTAAATGAAAGGGAAAACTTTCCACATCTCATTGGGTTGTCTTGAGTGTCCCTAGGCCCAGTTTAGAGCCACTGCTTTCAAGGGCAAGGCCTTAGTGGTGTGTCAGAGCTAAAAGGTCCTCATTCCAAAGCAAGAACCTTCTAAATGAAGAAAGGGCTGCAGTAACTATTGTTTTAATAAATAAATTATTACATTACTTTTTGAAAATACTTCTAGGTTTCAAAAAAAGGGCTAATTTTATTATATTAAATATGTGTATATCTTTAGTGTTCATTAGTAGAAAGTACACGTTTTGATCTTTATGCACAATAAAGTCCTGAATTTACAATATTTTCTTGATGATGTAAACTCTTTTCTTCCCTAGGATGCCATTGATAATAGATTAGATTCAAAAGAATGGCCGTATTGTTCCCAGTGTCCAGCAGTATGGAATGGCTCTGGAGCTGTAAGGTAAAACTTATAAATAAAAGTCAGTGAAATTTACATTATGATACTACAAACTGAAATTGAAAATAGTACAGTTATTCATACTGGGCAACTCTCTTTAAAGTATATAGTCACATAAGAGGTAGTTTTGTTTTTTTTTTTTAATTTGTTTTAAATAAATTCAGGTAACCAGCATGAAAATGTACTTTATTATCTTTAAATATCTCATGAACCTAAAAACAAAGTCCCCATCTCTTTCTTCTTAATGTCACAGAGTGATTAATCCTTTTGATAGTTTTTGTGATGAAATATTTGAAACATTCAGAAAGATACAGAGAGGGCCGGGGATTTAGTTCAGCGGTTCAGTGGCCTGCCTTGCAAGTGCAAAGACTAGAATTCAATCCCCGGTACCAAAAGGAAAAACAAAAACAGAAAGATACAGAGAATATTATAATTCATTCCTTTAACTTAAAACCCAGGTTAACAAATAAATTATAAATACAGTTCAAACTTCCTTGTATATCACTTTCTGATTTTATTATTCTTTCTTTCTTCCCTATCTTAAATTTGATGTTTATCTTTAACATTTTTCTATCTATAGTTGCATCCTAAACAGTGTCTTGAGTTGTATTTGCAGGATATTTTTTCTTGGTCTTTGGCTCTCTGCAGTCTATCTTTGTTCTGTCTAGGTGCAGTTCTCTTTGTTTTTATTCTACCTGGAGTTTGTTGAGTGTATTGGATGTGCAAGTTAATAATTTTCAGCAAATTTGGGGGACTGGCACTATTTTTTCAACTGTTCTTTCTGTACTTCTGTCTCTCTCCTTCTGAAATTCCTGTTACATATGTTGGAAGAACTGACATTGTTCCACAGGTCACTGAAGCTCTGTTTACTTTGTTCTTTAGATTTGTAGTATCTGTTTATCTTCAGATTCTCTAATTCTTCTGACATGGCAGATCTGCTTTTGAGCTCATCTAGTGACTTTTTCATTTCAGCTATAGTACTTTTCATGTTTAGAATTTCCATTTGTTTCTTTTTTAGGTTTTCTTTTCTTTCTCTTTCATTTGTGGTATGCAGTATCAAACACAAGGCCTCGCTCATACTAAGCAGGTATTTTACCACTGAGCTGTATCTTCAACCCTAAACTGCATTTCTAACTGCTAAGCATATTTTTTTCTTATTTGTAATAACTGCTTTGAAGTTGCCAAATCCAAAACCTGGATCTAAGATCTGGATTCTGAGCATTTGCTCTTGAATATCTTTTAACTTCTCAGGTAAGAAAAGTGGTCAACTGTATACCTAAAATGTACCAATAAACTCAATGAGAGAAAAAGAAAAGTGGTCAATATGCTTAAGATTCAATTCAAAATCTAAATCTACCCAAGATCAGTTTATATTGACTACTTTTTTTTCCCAAAGTGAATCACACTTTCCTATTCTTTGTATATCTACTTTTGGTTGAAAATTAGACCTTTCAGAAAATGGGTTAGAGTTAACTCTCTGAGTTGCTTTGTATTGTAATAATATGTATGGACTTAAACTAGAGAATCTTTCTCTCGCTGTATGTAGCCATTAATATCTTTGTTGAGTTTTTTTAATCTTAATTTTTTAACTTGACTCTTAGTGGTTGCCTCTGTGCATAGTAGTTCAGAGATCAATAATTGTCTGGGCAGAGGTTATACATTGAAACTTCAAGTTTGTATATCCTTTGCAGATCATCTGAGTGGGTTAAGGAATGCATTCCAACATAACCAGCACTTGAATCTCCTGGGATTTTTTTTCTTCTCATATTTTCCCTGGTTGTTGAGGTTTTCCCTGCACATTGTAGTTTAACAGTCTGCTAACTGACTAGAGAGTTTATCTTTGCCTTCTTTGGATTATTCACTTCCAAGACTTCCCTGTTAAATTTCTGACCTGTTTGCTGCCCAGCTCAAATTGAAAGCATATCATTAAGCTCCCAAAGCTGCAGGTCTTCTTGCTCTGAAGCAGGAACACCATTTTTAAGTGGCAATACATGCAAGACTTTGTAATCCTGCCACTAGCACTCCACCTTGAATCAGGTCTTCCACCACTGGCAATAAAACTGCTAGTTTTCACTGCCAGCTTGAAGTCAGTAAAGCTATAGTTTCATAGATGGTAGAGAAGGGGTAAGTTGTAGTCTCAGACTAGAAGGTCACACATTGACCACCACCTTTCTTACCTGATAAATTAAAAAATAAGCAAGAGTAAATGCTCAGTTTATTGTCTGGTATGTATGTATGGTCATTTTCTAGTTGATCTGAAATGTTTTGGTTTGGGGTTTTTTTTTTTAATGTGTTTTGATTTGCTCACAATTTAATTCAGCCGTATATACTTGTTTCTTAGAAGGGAATCTCCTAACTTACCTTATTCCACCATGATTACAAGTCCTCTTTATCTTACTGTCATGGCTTATGTCTGTGTTCCGACTTATGTATAGATGTCCCCCATAGCCTCATTGGGTCATAGGTGAGGCTTTTCAGAGGTGGCTGGATCTAGGGTGTGTGATGCTGGAATTAAGTGTGTGATGCTGGGATTAAGGGTGTCTGACTAAATTAGTCCACTGATTAGCTTGGCATAGTTCTGGGTGTGGATAATAGGAAGGCCCAGGCTGGGTGTGAGTGCTGCCTGCCCTATGAGTGTGTAGGCTGGATAGAATGTAAGGGACAGAAAGAGGGCTGTTGTCATCACTTGCTGCTAGCTACTTCACTGCTGGCTGCCTTTTCCCTGTGCTGCCTTGCTAAGGACTATTTCTCCTCTGTGATGTCCCTCTGCCATGCTGGCCCTGCCTTGGAGCCAGCTGACCATGGACTGAAACGTCTATAAACTGTGAGCCAACGTAAGCCTTTCCTCCTTTAGCTTTAGGTTTTGGGCATTTTGTCTCTGCATTGAGAAAAGTAAAAAAGAAAGTTGTTTTTAAAACTTTGTGTAAATGGTGTCAAAATACATTTGTCCTCCGGTACCAACCTTGTTTCCCTTATGTGTATGGAATTTATCCCAGATTCATATATGGATAAATTTTCACTGCCAGTTGGTATATAGTTATATGAGTATCCTATTTTGTTCATCTACTTTCCTCATGTTAAAATTTAGACTGTCAAAACTGGCATTGATGGCTGGGGATTTAGCTCAGTGGTGCCGCACCTGCCTCGCGAGCGCAAGGTCCTGAGTTCAATCCCCAGTATCAAAAAAACAAAACAAAACAAAACTGGCATTGAGCATTCCTGTACATCTACATTTATTAGAGAGGCTAGAGCTTTTCTTGGACTTCTTTAGTTCTTTCCCCGCTTCTCTCCAGAGTGTACTAGTTTTTTTTTCATGTAGCAACTATCTTTAGAACTTTATTATACAGAGCTGGGAATTTAGTTCAGTAGTTCTGCTGCCTGCCTTGCAAGCACAGGACCTGAGTTCAATCCCCAGTACCAAAAAAAAGAAACGAGAATAATTTTATTATACATATTTGACTCAACAAAGTTTGAGAGTAATTAGTACCTTTGCCCTGAGCAATCATATACTTTACTTTTGTCTTTTTTAATTCCAAACTTAATGGTCAGGGTTAGTGTTATTTTTTATTTAGTTGTGTGTGCATGTTATTCAGTTACATTGCTCATCACTTCTATATCCTTTTTGTGGGCACAGTTACCTTCCTTCAGAACTGTTTCTATAGAAGTTGCTTCAGTGTAGACTATTGGTAGTCGCTAGTTTTGGTCCTTGTTCTTACATGACAGCTTTAGCAAGCTGTGAATTTCTAGGTACACAGTACTCTTCACCAAACACTTTTAGGTAATATTCTGCTGTTCTAGGTCTTGAGACAGTTGTGGGGAAGGGTGTGTTTTCTTTCAGCAGTGTCCTTTGTGGAAAACTTGCCTTTTTCCTTGGGTTGTTTTTTGCCATTGATACTCTTTACATGTTCTATATTATATATACTTAAGAGTTTGTTTTTCTTTCCTTGTGGTTTTATTATGTTTCTTCAATTTGAGAATTCATAGCTTTCAAACATTCCTCAAATATTGCCTCTTCTGTATCCTTGGTTTTCTCGAAGGAATTTATTATCTTCATATCTCATGATTTTTTATTTCTTTTTATGTTTCATTCTGAAATTTTTTTTTTATTTTTAGTTTTCAATTCTGTAGTTCTCTCTTTAAACTGTGTTTGCTATTCAAATTCTTTTTATTTTCTCTTTTCAGTGACTATTCCATTTTGGAAGTTCTATTTATTTTTCAAATATACTTGAATTACATAATTGTTTTCAGAAGTATTTCTTCCTTTTTTTTCCTTTCTTAGTGTTTTTCTCTTTTGAAAGTTTTAAAACCAGAGTTGTGTTTTTGTATGTATGTCCTTACTTTATCTTGTGTGTGAACAAAAGTATATTTTCTTCATGTTTCATCTTTCAAAACCAATTCCTGATTCTTTCTCCTTTTGTTTACTGCCTCAACACTCTTTAAGTTGGTGGATGGATAAAAATGATCATGCCAAAGGCTAGACTAAGAACATTGTTAAAAGTTTACTGTGGCATCTTTACTGCAGAGCCTTAGGGCTGATATGGAACTATAGCTTCCAAAGTGGGTAATAAAATGATCTATTGGGTACACATTTATAATTTATAAATTAATATATTTACTTATAAATGTTTAGTTTTTTTTTTATTGAGGTTATTGGTACAATCTAGGTATACAATACAATTACATTCATCATTGGGATTCTGTACCTTTACATAATAGGTCTTGATTCTCATTTTTCCCCTTGTCCCTGCCCTCCCTTCACCCCCTCCTCCCCCCCCCATTTACAAACACTTTATTTCCATTTTTTCAGTTTCTCATATTTGTTTCCTCTCCCTTATTACCTTTCCCCCACCCTTCCCACTTTCCCTACACCTTTAGCCCTTTACTTCCTATTTCACATTATTAATTATCTCATTAGGATCCTGTGTACTATTATAGTTTTTCACACCAAAGAAACTATTCGGTATTTCAGTTAAAGAAATCTCTGTATGAACATTAAAAATAGGGAATCCTAAAATAAAACTAAAAAGGAAAGAAAAAGAGAAAAGGCAGCGATGTAACATTAAAATAATCCTTAATTCTGGAGATGAAAATGGTCCCTGAACATATTTAAATTGCTTCTTGCTGTTGTAGTCTTATATTATTCTTTTTTTTTTCATTATTTAGAGAATACTTGATTAGTTTCTGTAATCAAACCCACGTAGATATGACCTTACATATTTA